GATCGTGATATACAACATTTTCATAATAGTAATATTTATATTTTAGCACTCAACAAAATTTGAGGTAAGAAAACCCAGATATTTCTTGTATTTTTCCAACTAAATTATCTGGATACTCATTAAACACAGCTATAAAAAAAATATGAGAAAGACGTATACACTTTACTTATTTTTTATCTTATCATTCTGTTGGATTCTGATCCATATTTGATTTACATTTGACCCTAAACTCACAATTCTAATCAGTATTACAGTCTCTTGTGTCTCCAACACCACATAACAACCAGATAATAAATAATATTTGCTTTACTGTTTCCACATCTTGTTTCTCCTTTTTATGAGTATTTTTGTACATATAAATGTTATGGGGATTATAATTATTTACTCAGTTATAACCCTCTACACATTCATATTTTGTAAATGTGAACCTTTGTGCAAATTAACTGAAACAATCACTTTAGTTTCCTTTCTTTTACCATTGGGTCAGTTTTTAGATCTACTGGAGTGACAGTGTGTAATCAATTTCTATTTTTTCTCAGATTAGGTCATTTGCAGTGGTGTGCAGTAATATGAATCTGTTTTCAGCGTGTATGATGAAATTTGTTTGACCTTAAAAATATTGAGTCAACTGTGATTGCATCAGATTTTCATCACACCCAGACACTATTGTCTTGACTGTCAATTAGTACTAACATGTGCACTGGGTCATGTCTCATCAGAAAAATACAAAAAAAATGTAAATAATAATGGAATTATTCGTTTTGTTTCAATTAATTTGCACAAGGGTGTATATACAAGGTGTTTTCTCTCAAGCATACATATATACTCTTGCTTACATTAATCCATGAACAAGATTGCAGGTATGTTAATGCTTTATTGAGATAGGAAAGTAGAATTTATTTATTCCATATCAATGACATATCACCAACATATTTGCCTCATTCACAGGCATGCAAACAATCAGGTAAACCATGTTTAAGTTGTCACAAGTAAGATATGGCAGGTGTACTTTAAATTTTGTACCTGGAAGAATTTAAGTTGTATTGGTGACAATGTGCTTACAGTTTTGGCATCATGGTTCATTACATCCTTGAAGAGTATTTGGTCATTTTACTTTGGAAGATGTGAGTAGTGATAGTAAATTGGGTAATTATCATCTTGCGCTAAGTGGAGGTTTACCAAATTTGTTATTAATTAAGGGAGCTATTTTAAGATTTAGGAAGTTTCTTTGGAAGGAATGAGATAATTTGTTTACATTATAATTAAAATCAAATACTATGGGTATTCATAGACAATTTTTTTTTGTTTTTGTAGACTATTTCTAGAGTGTGAGAAAACTTTTTTTTTATAGATTCTTTGCTTATTTTTAGGGGTAGTTATTTTTAATGGGTAGTTATTTTTAGGGGAAGTTTCTATTGTGAAAGTGATTAATGAATGAACCTATCTGTATGTTGTTGTGCAAACCTACTTATGCACGAACATATACATACAAACACAAAATCACATGTACAATGCCAAACAATCATTGGCTAATAAATCACTAATATATTTTCTACAGGCAATTTACAAATCACAGTAATGCAACAATTTTGGAATTGCTTTATTTTTTAAGTAATCAAATTTGTGCACTTGATAACTGACATTCATTAAACATGGCACTAGAACAGTTTACCCCAGTGAGCAAAATAAAGGGTTCAGTTCGAAATTCCAACAACCTGAAGAAGGCCGGAGCGTACAATGGCCGAAATGTTGTAATAAATATGGCGACAAAGATGAGGACAATAGTCCGAATAATGTAAATAGTGAAAATGAAAGACCATGTGCACAATACATAAATTTGAAAATTTTATTAACTATTCACTAATATTAGATATTGAGAAAGAAAAGATGTAAAAGTATAATAGCTGTCAAAAGCAGGCAATTACCACTATTATTTTAACTACTTTCACTCTTTGACAATATTTATTGTTTTAAAAAGAGATGATTAGAATTGTAATAAAACCTAAACATGCTAAAAGTGAATTTATAATTTTCATATTCATTTATTTTCTTTTGAGAATTAACCACAAAACACTATTTATTATATTAGATTGTTTATTTACAATTATAATTTTATATTTAAAATATTCTAAATCCTAATACATTTGAATTAATGCGATATTTATCTTTATCAAGAAATAAATATGGAAACAATTTTTTATTCATAGATTTATAAACATTTATTAAATTATTAAAATATGTGAAGGAAATCCTTATTATTTACTATTTTATAAAGTTCTAATTGATTAGCAATTAGTTGATGTTCTGCCAACCATTTCAATAAACAATATAATAAATAAATATTGTAAATAAACAATATAATAAATAAATAGTGTTTATTATTTTTGTTGCCAGTTCTCAAGAAGAAAGGAAATGTATAAATTCACTTTCATATGTTTAGGTTTTATTAAAATTCTAATCATTGCTTTTTAAAACAATAAACATTGCTGAAAAGTGAAGGTAGTTGAAATAATAGCGGTGTCAAGGGAAAAACCATCCTTTTGACATTTCAATTTTTTGCAGGCATGAAGGTCCCAGTTTACCAAAATATTTTAAAAATTGTATATAAATATGGCACAAATTATTGTCTGTGCATGGGTTAGTCAACAACAAAGATTTACTGAACTATTTGTTTTTGGTATTTTCCAGAAATATCTTTTGGGAAATTGAAGTTCTATTGCATTTGTTGAAACTATTTCTTTTGAATGTCTCTGAAGTGGTTGTTGAGTAGGTACTCTTAAGAAGTGAATATCCCAAGAGGATGCTTCCCTGATCTTAACCTATGCAAGTCTAGTGTTAACCGTTATTTTCCCCACATATCTTCATAAACTGTACCTCTTACCTCTTACTTTGTAATTCGCTACTCTGAGTGGCTCTTTGGCCTTGTACAACATGAAAATTATTGTAAAAAAATGTTTGATCTTCAAAAATTTAAATGCAATGTCAATTGTCACCTCCTGTCTTCTTGTATCTTGTTCTTTTATTGTCCTCTATCCTTAATAATGTTTTTTTTTCTCAGACTCTTTTGCTCTCAATAACCTCTTGTGTCTTAGCGGCTTTATTACCTTGCTTGAGGTGAAATGGTTAACAAAAATACTTACCTCCAGATTAACTATTAGCTAATTAAAGAAAATTATTTACTTGATGGCATTTTTATATATATCTTCTGAGGGGCTTGGTAAGAGTGTTGCAGATTTAAATCAAACCACAACAAAGAAAAAGGATGACAAAGGTTTGAAGTGTTAAAGTTCCTTGTTTGTAGTTGTTTGTTAAGATGTACAGAAATGTGATTTCTTTGCGTGTATGTGTGAGAAAAAAAATAGGCAAGGGAGAAAGTGAGGAGGAAAGTGTAAGTATCACATAGCTTGGTGAGAAAGAGTGTAAAATGTCACATAGCTTGGTGAGAAAGAGTGTAAAATGTCACATAGCTTGGTGGGGAAGATGGGTGATGAGTAAAAGAATCTCTTTGAAGCCATGTTGTGCACTGTTGCCATCTGTTGCCATTCCTTACTCCTTACTGGTTTGTCGGGTCTAGAAGCTTTGCTTAAATACTCTTCAAAGGGATCATGAAACATGTTTTTATTGTCAGTGAGAATGTGACTCGTTGGTTGAAAAATGTTAAATCTTTATTTTTAAAGGATTAATTTATTAAGCGGAAGGATGTGCAGATCCTCCATCTCAGAAACCATTTTTTGTCATTTGATGATTGATTGTCTTGGTGCTTATTTGTCTTTGCCCTACAAGAAAATAACACCTGAAGATTACCTATTTGCATGGAACTATTAATAGCAGTTTTACTAAGTATTTTATTTGTTGTGTTTTAGTTTATTTAACTAAATAGTGACTGTGTCTATCGGATATCAATTATTCATGGTAGCAGTAGTACTGTTGCTTACAAGTGCTATTAGTATCCCAGTACCATTTCTTTATTATTATTTTTCATTATGTAAGCCTTAAATTGATTAATACAGCTTTTTCTATATCTGCACATAATAGCTGAATGCATATCTGTTCATATGTATTTATTTAATCATGGCCTTTTTGAATCATTTTGATTGTTACTTGTTTGTTTTATTTTCATTTTATATAAACAGTAATTTTATTTTTTATTTATTTACTTTTTGAATCCTTAAAAATAAAAGTGATTTTAGTTTATCAAACTCTAAATGATTCCCCACCCACCAAAATATAAATTCAATATTAGTAGGGTACCACAGACAAAAGTAAATAAAAATTTGTTAAATATTTTCCAAATATTTTAGCAAATATATTGGTTGTATTAATAAGACGATTATTTCTATATTTCTAAAATTAATAAATGTTTTACTTTTCATTTCAAATTTGCTTTTATATCACCATAAATTTTTAAGTAAGTTAGAACAAAAATTATTTTATCAAGGGGAGTAATTCTTGTTGCTAAAGAGTTAATTCCCTTTTAACATTAATCATTCTGGTGCTGTTTTCGAAGCAATTTTTTCCTCATATGATAGATAATTTGAAAACTTGGAGACCTTTACTTTGATAGCTTTTTTTTTTTAATTAGCTAAACAAATAAAAAAAAACTCACATATAACTGATTAATTATCTATATACTTTATCAGTAATAGAAATAACTGTTTATAAAAATAAAGATAGTTTACTACTTTAATTACAAATCGTTTTTATGAAAAATATAAAATTTATGTTTTCATAAAAAAAAATGATGTATGCGTTTATGGGATTTTTCGAATTATGAACTTTACTCTGAGCAATTTAAAAATATACGCTTAGTGTTAGTAACTGCAAATGCATAAAAAGATTTAAACTTCCTTAAATTTTTAATTAGTAAAAAATGGTTAAATCTTATTTTAAAGTAGGTTATTAAAAAACATTTTTTTAAAATTTCTTCTGTATTTTAATTTCTAAATAGTTAATATTTAAAGTTAGATATTATTAATAAAATCCCTTTGCCCCGATAAGCTATGATATGCCCTGATGAAAATGGCAAACGCCTCGTCTGTGACGTCTCTGTAATTTCGCACCTCCTGTTCACAGAAGAGTTGCCATCACTAACTAACATGCCTGTGTGATGACATAACAGAAAACAACAACGAACAGTAACAACACCAACATCAATTGTGATCGTGTTTTGGGGAAAAAAGGAAGTAACTAAAACCGTGGTTTTTGATTGAGATATCGAAAAGAGACATCGGAGTAACAATAATTCTGTAATTACTTTTGTGATTGATTTGAACAACAAAAAATGTCAGTGAAAAAACGACTAGGAATATTATTCTGAATTCAGTTTTTTTGTTGAGAAGAGAAGTAACAATATTTCTAAAATTTATTTTCTGGTCTTGTTACTTGACTAAAATTGGATTGACAGAAGTTGTTAAAAAGACGGAAAAACTATATGTTGTTTGTCTAATTTTATGTTTGTTATACATGCTAAAAATAACTGTACCGTTTTTAAAAGGAAAAGGGGTTTAAGTAGACGAAAATAGACAGTAATGACGCGACAAGACGAAACAACTGAAAACCCAAATACTTTGGTTTCAAAGCACGGAGATTATCATGTTGGATATTTCTTCTTTTGACAATGATTATGGATTGGGAAAAGAAAAAATAACGAAGAAGGAGGAGGAGGATGACGACGACGATCATTTTTATTTTTATCTAGTAAACGTGGTGTTGTGGTAAAAGAAAAATAATACAAAATAAGGAGAATTTGCTCTTGTCTTAAGAGAAGGGGGAGAAAAGAGAGAGAAATGGAATTCCTACAAAATTTGGCAAATTCCCTGAAAAGTGCCCGAACTGTCGAATTACCATCTGGTAAGTAAATTACTTTCACTTTAATAATAATAAAAAAAGTAATAAAATCCCCCCTCTCTCTCCATATATATATATGTGTGTGTGCACACATAATAAATATCACCTGTTTTTAATGGTGATTGATATGTTTTGTTTTGTTTTTAAGTAGGAATCATTGTTTTTAAATATTTCAATGGATTCAGTTGTAACCAAAACAAGAATTTTTAGGCTATTTTGTTTATTTTTTATTGGCCAGTTATTTCGAGTTGTCAACAAATTCTGGTAATTCTTAACGTTTTTGTACTTACCCTTTTTAAAAGTAAATATTGAAACTGTAATAAATAATAAATATATAGAAGTTGCTGTATAGAATTGACATATTCCGTTGTCAATATGGTTGGTCGTTGTTTATTTGTTGGTAGTTCAACACGGAAATGAAAGGACATCGTTTCCAGAACATATTTACTTTGGGAAGCTTTGAACAATCGAGAAAAAATCTCTCGGATATTTAAATATTTTTGTTTTTGAAGCATTTAAAATATTTTAATCCATTATTTTAAAAGAAAAAGATTGTTTTTAGAATTTTTTTTTAAAATAATTGTTTTTCTTTCATTTTTTTTTTTTTTTACAACGATTTTTTTTAATTTGTTTTATTTTTATTTTTAGCAAACTCATCTTCATATTTTCTCTGCGAACGGATTAGTACTTCGTTTTGTTTTGTTTTTTGTCAATAATAATGATGATTCCCCCCGCCCCAAGAATTAAATTTAGGATGATAAGTCTATAATTAAAAAATTGTTTGTTCTAATAAAAAAAAAAAAAACTAAATGTCGCACCGAAATGACCCTGTGTTTTTTCATTTTTGGTTATACGAATAATGGAAATTGATTGAAAAGCATGAAGCTGAAGCATGACTACATTTGTTATTTGTATGATCGTGTTTTTTTTTTACTATTGCTCTGCTACGGATGGAGAAAAGTGATTAAATTGTGTTTACTTGCCAAAAACGCCTGGGGAAGGCAAATTTCATCTCTAATTAATTAAACAATGAGTAAATAAAAGCAAAAACACTCTTCATCACACCCACTGTTTCTACTCATAATTAAATTCTCTTAACTCGCATGTTTATTAAAAATAAAAAAATGGAAGTTTAATTTCTATTTTTAGCTAAAGAAGAGCACAATTCTTTTAGTGTAGGAGTTGTTTGTGTGCCTTTTATTTAAAACTGAAACGCTTTCTTTCGTTTGTCCATTAATGTTATGGACCTTGAAAGAATAGATAAAAAAATGAAATGAAAACATTTTTAAAGTGATATGTAATCAGTGATGAAATTTTTTTAGCCATATAGTTTGGAAGTTAGATGTTTTAATTTGTTTATCCTTAGGGCTTAAGACAAGCTTTTTAGTTTAATAAATAACAATATTAACTCCGTTCGTTGGGTTTTCGTTTTACTTATTGTTTTCCTATCGTCAATCAATAATATTTTTTTAAATAGGCTGGAATCGACTAAATTTGACATTAAATTCTCTTCCAATTAATTGAAAAACATATACGTTTTTTTTTTTTCCTTTAAATCTTCCTTATCATTTAAAAAAACACTGCAATGCATCAAGTTCCAACAAACAAAAACAAAAAAACAACAAAAAACGATGAAGTTGTTGCTTTTTTTTTTTTTTTAATAAACTCCCTTGCATTTTTTTAAAAACTAATTTTCATTCACTTGAATTTTGTCTGAATTATTTCTTGGCTAATAAATGCTCCCAATATATTATAGATTTTTTTTTAAAAAACAAATATTCGTTCACAAAAAAATCACATTATTAATTCTTTAATAATATTCATCTTCAGTTTTCAAATATTAAAATTAATATTTAATAACTAAAAACGTTTTAAAAGGAAGGAAAACATTAAATTTTAAAATGTATCTAAAAATTTTTTGAAATACGTTGTTTTTGAAAATTTAAACTTAATTGTAGTAAAAATGTTTTTATTCCAACTGTGGCATAGCAGTGACATGACAATATGAAGTGGGTGATATGAAAACATTTTTTTTTTTTTTAAATACTTCAGGTATTTTTTATGCAGGTGTAAACTGCCGTCGTTTGTGAAATAGTTGGCTAACTTTAAAAAACAATCCTACTTCTAATTTTATTTAAATATTTTTAATTGGGAGATATAATGGCAGATAATACAAACTGGGAGATGGTGCCCAGGTGTGAAATTAGTTTTAAAAACCTTTTTTCTTTCAGCCTCTCGGTGCTCTACCGCGACTTCCACGGAAAGTGCTCGAACGAACAATATTCCCTGGTCCAACTGAGGCAAGCCTTCACGGCAAGAACACGCCATGCCACTTATAGTAGCAAATCACCCACATCCCCTCCATATTCCATCAGTGAGAAGTAAGTTCCACTCGAACAGCTTCTTCCTGCGAACCACTGCCCTGTGGAACCGACTCCCAAAAGAATGTTTCTCCGATCATTACAATCTACCTGTTTTAGACTAAGGTTATTAACCGTTATCTTCCACTCCCATACACGCACATGGCCTTCAAACAAACGTTTAACACTCTATGTCTCTAGTAGCCCTGGGGCCTTGTAAAGGGTGAACCTGGCTGTTAGAAAAAAAATGTTGACCTTGTGTAATGAAACTTTAAACTTCTGAGTTAATTCCAGAATCCTACTACTGACTTACACCTGTATTTAAATTATGTACACATTTTTTTTTATCATAAGAGGTAAAAAATAACAATAACAAATAATCTGTGGTTAATAATAGATATTTGCTAATTTGCACATAACTTTATTGCAACTAGAAAATAAGAGACTTTTGTTCTTGCTTTAAAACTAGTTTTCTTCTCTCTCCTTGCTCAGTTAATGGTCTTTTTTTAGGGATAGACCCTGAATTTCTGAACTAACTAGTGGAAACAATATCTTGCTTACTAAGGGTATGATATTTATTTTCTTTAATTAGATATTATGAAAAACCTCAGATACTTTGACTTTTGAAAAAGCAAATTCATTCAATCATTTATTTTTTTGCATGTTTAGAAATATTTATTCCATACTTTTATTTTTATAGTTCAGACAATAATGGATTACCAGTTGAGTAAACATATTTCCAGGTTGTTGTAAAGAAATTGCAATGAAGATTTTGTTTGAATAGATGAACAAATGGAGAAATTGAATTAATAAAAAACAAACAAAAGGCTTAATAGTCACAAAGTACATAATTAATTATATTTGTAAGCTTTTGTACAAAGTTGGTTAGTAAGTAAATTTGTCTGCTTTGTACATGAGATTGTTGATGAGCCTATTGCCATATAATCTTTATTTGAATATTCATCATACACATTTTACTGTTCACTTGACAGTTGCTGCTTTTTGAGCTTTGGTGTTGAACAGCTCTTATTTTTATCACTGGTAGGTTTGATCTAATTCTATTTTTAACCTTGTGATAAAAATATCCAGAAGATGCTGCATCATAAACCATACATAGTTTAAGTTACTGTTCAATTTTAAGACTTTTTTTTAAATCTGTGATATTACACTAATTACTAATAAAATCTATTGAAAATATGATACTTTTTTTTACCATGAATATTTGATTTCATTTCTTCTAATTTTCATTGGGTCAGAAAAATCTTTTTTTAGATCACAGTTGCTAGAGTTAGCACATATTGAATATTTCTCTCTTTTCATTGATAATCTACAGATATTAATCATGGAAATTAGAGGGAAAATTTTAAGTAAGAGATGCACTGTAAAATAGAAGATGCAAATCTCCTGTTGGACATCGTTCATGTCCATTAAATGTTCCATTGAATAATGAAGTAGGACAAAATATTTGATGTCCTCTCCCTTATATTCATAAGGTGGCTTTTACTGTCATTTGACCTGTTTGAAGAACATATTGATGACATTACTACATCTATATTTGTTGTTTATAGGATGGGACAAAACAGTAGATAATATTGCTTACTGAAAAATAGCTTTAGCTCTTATTTAACCAATTATCTCTATAGACTTTGAAAGATTGGCAAGAAAAATGAATTGACATAGCATCATAGAATAATTTAATAACAGTTCATACGAAGCAATAAGATCAATTTGAAATTATTCTAAATATCCTCTTTCAATGACTTAATTTTTTTGTTCCAACTGACAGCCTTACCTCCTGAAAAATAAAGGCCCTCAACAATTATTGAAAATTTAGTCGTGAAGAAAGTGTTAAACTTGATGTGTGCACTTTCTTATCTTTTTGCTTAATAGAAACTAATCCACCATCTGTAGATGTATACACCAAAATTAATTTTGAACAGGGACTGATTGTTAAAGTAAATTTATAATAAATATATTATTATATTAAGACATTTTTATGTTTATACATTCTTTTTATAGATACAAATATTTAAGTAAATGCTCTGTTTATAATAAACAGTTTTAAACAACATTTACCAGCCTGAATTTCCGAGAAATTTTTATAGAAAATATTCATCCTTTGACAGGAATCAAACCTGTATCCTATATTATCCTATAATGTACATGAGAGAATCATGGAAGATTGTAGTTTAAAGACCGTAAAATTGACCTTGCTAACCGAACGCTCCTTTGTGGCCAAATCGGTTAAAGGCACAGTTCCGTATAGGATACAGGTTCAATTCCTGTCGGAGGATGAATAATTTCTATGAAAATGTCTCGGACATTCAGGCTGGTAAATGTTATTTAATACTGTTTATTATAAGCAGAGCATTTACTTACATATTTGTATCTATAAAAAGAATGTTTAAACATAAAAATGTCTTAAAATAATTGTCGGACTTTGTCCATTTCATATTATTATATATAATTTCATTTTGTATCAAACATTTATTGAAGCCAGAATTTCCAATTTTAACACTATTCTCTCAAAATTGCCTATTCATAATATTACAGTAAAGAGGAATTGAAAAATGGTTTTCATTTTTTTTAATTAATCAGAAAGTATTTTTCTAATGTTTTTGTAGTATTGAAATTTGTGCTCTG